CAACACCTGGGTCACTGGGTGCAACTTTTATGTGAATAAAATTTTTTAATACGGCGAATATTTTCTTTGCTCCAGACCTTAGCAGAGGTACTTTTCCAAAATCGCACTTTTCACGCTTTTTTTCAGTGATTTTTTAGAGATAGTAAATGTTTGATTTCTTGACTAGCTTTATACATAATAGATACCGGTAGTAAAAATGTTGAAGTTTACGCCACTATTTTTAGTTTTGCAATATTTTGATTAGTTTAGCTGCTACAACGGTACAACATTTCTACGAAATGTCGAGGCAGTAGGCACGTCCCGATTTACCCCGCCCATCGCTTTTTACCCTGTTTGACGGTAGTCAATGAATTTTGCATCAAAGAAGATTGTTGACTTCATCATTTGGACTGCATTGGATTTATTGGATTAACTTCTACAACATTGAGTACCTATGATAAACAAGCAATTTCATCTCAAAATCAGTGATGATTTCAACAGGCTTGGTTGTTGTAATTGCCAATCCTGGCAATGGCAACTAGAGAGGCCTGAGAGGGGGGTTGATGGTCTGTTTTTCCAGATACTCGGTACCACTGGTAGTTCTACAACCATCACTGGCTTGCTGAACTGCCAGAACAATTTGATTGCATTACACAGCACCCTGGACAAGCCAGGTACTCATTTATCAACCAGAGTTGGATGAATGGCTGAGTTGACCATGAGCTGAGCTTCCCGGTAGAACTTGTCCTCAGTGGGACTCAAACCCGGGCGCTGGGTGTGAGAGACACGACAGAGTCTCTCACCACTGCACCACCACAGCTCCAACAGGCTGTCAGGCTTGGTGACGCCCTTGCCCCTTGACAACAACGCCAAACTGTAAACTATGCAAAACAATGGCCCCAGCCAAAAATCAGCTCTCCAAGAGGCCAGTGTAGCCTTAACATTTTGCTTCAAATAAGGTTTTAGACTTTTTTATCATTTGACAGTGCATCAGTCAACATCATCAACAAGTAGTTGGACTAACAACTTTGATTGATGAATTTGGCAGCCTGGCAGGCTTGGTGACACCCTTATTAGTAACACCATACCCCAGACTATGTGCATCAAAGAGTCCTGCCAAAAAGCAGAAGTTCTCCAAGAGGTCTTTGTAGTCTTTAAATTTTGCTTCAAAGAAAGTTGTCGACTCTTTCATTATTTGGACTAAATTGGGGTAATTGGACAAACAACCAAGACATTGAGACTGTCTAACCAGCCGCCCTCTGTCTGGAGAGCAGAGGAACCCCTGAAACAAACTCACAAAACCATTGATCAAACCTTTATGGAGAAACCCAACACAGTGTTTTAACTTCTAATAGGTTCTAAAAAGCAAAAAGTAGAAATTATTTTGCCAGAACTCAGAATTTTTCTATTTTCAGAATATTTCAAAATGGCTTCATGGGAGACCAGTGCTGCTGTGGTATCTGATTGTTCTAATGTAAACAACAGTCTATCAAATTCAAATGCTGGTAATTCAGTTAATGGCAGTAGTGCTTCTACCACTGCCTCAACTACCAATCAGAGCCAAGCCAGTCAGGTTGCTCGTAATAGTAGCATTCTTCATAACATTCTCAGGTGGGTTTCTGTGCTGCTTTTATTTAGCTGCAATTCACTTCTTATAAAGATTCACTTGAAATGGTTTTCATTGTATTCTTTTGCTTATACTTTAGATAAGTACTACTGCCTCTTTTTAAATAAATCTCTAGGACATGTAATATTTTACTTTTTACTTTGTATTTATGCTTATTTATTGTGCATAATCTGCTATCCCCTGTCTAGATTATTCAGTCATGTTTTTCTCTTTTTTAAGCAGGATCCAGCAAAGGAAGTCAGCCAATCGGCTGTTGCCAAAAGAGAAAAAGTTGGAGAAATTGGCAAGCTATTCCTTGTGTAAAGTGAGTACCGGTATTTATTTATTTTAGGCAATCTTTGATTTTAATATACGTAATTGATTATTGGGAATTTTCTGATGGAGAAAACCCAATGATCACTTGTGTATTTATCTCGTCTTATTTTATTATTCTGAATATGTCTTATTAATTACCTACATAAAGAAATAGGGGTCAGCTTTCAACAATTTTTAATTTTTTCATGTAAGATTAATAAGTTACCTCACCGGAAGTAAAGTTCTTAATAGTTGGTGAGTGACTGGTGTAATCAGTCTTATCAATGTGTCTATACACATAATTTTGTTGATTTTGCACACATTCTTTTGCCCCAATGTCCCAGGCTGATGAATCCTGCAAGTGTACTGGTTTTAAGAACTGTCCCAGCAACATAGCTGCGGCATCAAGCCAGGCAGCAGCGGCTGCTGCACTCAAGGAGCCTCTGCCACTTACCACCCCGTGCACAACCTGCTCTCATACCATAGGTACCAGTACTGTTCATGCAATAGTTGAAAATATTTCTACAAATTACCCTATTACTAAATACATAATTTAGAAGAATGATGTCAGATGCTGCTTGATGGTTTCACAACATATGCCTTAGTTGCTACTTTTGAAAAATTAATTTATTTGCCTCAGAAAACATAATATGGTATGTCTTGTTAGTCAGTTATATAAATAGGTAGTACTATATATTTTTTTGTTTGGATTACAGAAGGCTAATAATAATTTTTTCAACTTGAAGAACATTAGTTTTGAAGTTTTCTATTCTCAAAAAGTTTTGAAGTAATATCAAGTTGGTTTAAAAATTTTTTTAAATGATGAATTTAAAGTTGATTTTATCATTACCTGTAGTAATAACTATTTGTTGCATTGTTTACAGTATAATTTTTCAAAAAAAAATCCAACCTCTTCATTGCAATATGATGCAAATCACACCCTCTGAAATTCATATTCCTGCCACAGCTGACCACTCCTCGTACTTGAGTCACCTGGATAACTCGGAGCTTGATCGCTTACTGTCGATTGTGACAGACATAGAAAATGTTTACTTCATGGCCAACAGAGAAGAAGACACTGACACTCGCAGTGTTTATGTATTTCTGTTCAAGCTCTTCAGAAAGTGTGTTGTTCAGGTATCTACTCAGTGTTATTATCAATATCAATGTAGTTTTTTTGTATGGAGCAACAGCATTATCATAATGGATTGAATTATTTAAATATTTTTTAAATAATTGTCTTTTAATGAAGTAAAAAATCTGGTCTAAAATGGTTGATCATTAATTAGTTTAACATGTTAGTTTTTTTTCATCAAAGTACATGTCATTAGTCCTTGTACTTATTTATTTTTAATGTGATTCAGAATTTCATGGTTTTTTAAAGTGTGATAAATGTTAGTTTTTTTTAGATAATAATTTGCTTTTAGTAGTAATCAAGGTGAAGGTACTGATGTTTTCTTCATTTCTTTGTAATTTAAGCTAGAAATATACATGTTGCACTGACCTACTTATAGTTGTTTAGTTAATGTTTTTTATTCTGAGTTGTGATACAGTGTATGCTTCCTCAGACACAACATCATCCAGTTATTGAGGGACCACTCGGCAAGCCTCCTTTTGAGAGACCTACCATAGCCAAAGCTGTGTCTAATTTTGTGCAGTACAAGTTCTCACACCTACAGCCCAAGGTATTTTTTAAATAAAAACTTTCCTAGTGTTTATTTATTTAAGTTTTTGTTTAGAAGTTCATCCAAACTGGTACCTTCTGATATTTGCTTTTTCGCACTAGCTTGCATATTATTTTCATCTGACAAAACTGCTGTTAGCTTATAAGTTTCAGAAATGCTTTTTTACTCAACTGTTGAGCGAGAGAATTTTTTGTATACATTTAAACAGAGAATTCTTTTGAAGCTTGGACTAGACATAAATCATTTTTTCCAGGAGCTTCAAGCAATGTATGACCTTGCTAAGATGTTTCTGCACTGCATCAACCACTGGAAGCTTGAGACTCCCACGCTGCACTATGCCCATTCTCCTCCATCTCCTTTAGAAGACACTACCAATAGCTACAAAGTCAACTACATGAGGTATTGTTTCATGATCAGACGTGCTCACGCAACTGGGATATAACTTGGCCATGAAATATTTCAATTAATTAAAAAAATTAATTTAAATTTTGTGAAAATACATTTAGCTTATTGAGTAGCATATTGCAAGGCTCTCCTCTTGAGACCATGCAATGTCCTTATCATTTGTACCATCTGTTCTTACCTTTGGTTTCTTCAACAGGTGGCTGTGCTACATCTACGTGCCACAGATCTGTGATTCTCTTCCACATTATGAGCTTTGTTCAACATTTGGCCGGACCTTCCTACGCAGCGTGTTCAGTCTGTCTCTTATACACATCTAGATGTGTATAAGANTACAATTATTATTATCCTAGAATAACTGCTTTGAAATAAATCTAGGAGGACAAATTTTGTTAAAAAATAATGATAAAACTGCTTGCTCTTCAAAATTTTTATTGTAGCGCGCGTTTGTCGCTGTCTTAGTTTCAGATTTCAGTAGTTAGTGTTTTGGGCATCATTCTCTAGCATCCTAATTAGAAGTTTAGATGATCTACTAGCATTTTCTATGCTTTTACCTTTCCTATATTTGTTGGTAGCCTGACTGCACACCTGTGACCAGCTGATCATTGGCCGACAACTGACTTTAATAAAGTATTTAATTATCTGAACTTGCAGTTTCTTATCAATACCTGACTGCACACCTGTGACCAGTTAATCATTAGACTACAACTTTCTTTAAGGTATTTAATTATTGGAACGTGCAGGTTCTTATCAATGCTGGAAGAGGAGCTCGTGAAAGACAACTCGCCCATGTGGGACATGGAGTTTGTGCCACCGCCGATCTTCGCCCGTCCCTACACAACGGAATACAAAGGTAACAAGAGTCTTATGGCTGCGCTATTACTGCTTCGCCCGCCCCTACACGACGGAATACAAAGGTAACAAGAGTCTTATGGCTGCGCTATTACTGCTTCGCCCGCCCCTACACGACGGAATACAAAGGTAACAAGAGTCTTATGGCTGCGCTATTGCTGCTTCGCCCGCCCCTACACGACGGAATACAAAGGTAACAAGAGTCGGTGTTTTTATCGTATGTGATTGCTGGGCTTAGCTGGAAATGATTTATGAGCTTGTAACTATTTTTGATAGTATGGCACAGATGTTTTGGGTTGCAAACCAACGCAGGACTAAAACTGTGGCTGTGGAAACGTAATGTCAATATTGATAAGCCTTGCCAAGCTTGTTATATTTCGTGTTCTTGAAGATTTAATTTAATGCTAAAATTTTGCTTGATTTACTTCCCTCATGTATATATGGAACTAACCTTGAAAAGAGATTTCTATTCATGCCATGACCAAGCTCTTAGCAGGGATCTTTTCTAAATTATTACTCAATAATTGAAATATTTGTCAACGAGCAAGTACCTAGCTGATTAGGTAAGGATCCCCAAAAAGCATTTCCTTTAATTGTCAAATTGCTCTACGGGATTTCTATTTTTTCAGGCTCAACCGAGGCTGAACGCGTGGCTGCGTTGTCAGAGAGCTCGCTCTTCCACATCCCTCCTGCAAAGAAAAGGTTTGGCTTACTGTTTTAATTCTTGGTTGCTATGAAGTTAATTCTAACTCACATTCTTTATTAATAAAGAAGAAAACTCCGATATGAATACCACTCAGTGTAACTTAAGTGTGCTTGATCTTCTCATTCACTAATTTCCACGATAAAACTAATTTTGTATGTAGGTTGTGAGCTTTCTAATCTTTATAAACAAATAAATTAAGTCGCTGTATGCACTAAGCTCAAATAGAGATACTAAAATTTGTTGTTAATTTAGCATGACTGTAGTGCAGAAAATAATGAAGTAACGCTGCCTGTGTTGCAGAGAGAAGCGGGAGAGTGAAGGTTTTGTTAATTTAGCATGACTGTAGTGCAGAAAATAATGAAGTAACGCTACTTGTGTTGCAGAGAGAAGCGGGAGAGTGAAGGAGAAGCTGGTGGCTCGAGCAGCAAGAGGATGCGTGGAGATGAGGGTGATGGAGAGGACAGTCCTCCACAGGACCTCCCTGAGGAGAAGGTGGCTGAGGTGCTCGCCTCCATCATGGACCCCAGGAAGACCCTGGGGCCTGAGGTGCTCTTCTCGGAGAACTCCGCTAGAGACGAGGCTGCTAAGGTACGATCTATTGAAGTGAGAAATGCAGCTGGTACTGTGAAGAGAAGTTGATTGAAGTTGGTAATTTATATTCATGATTCATGACGCAGAAGTTCTTATGAGTTCTCGCTCAAAAGTTTTTATGAGTTCTCTGAAAGCCTCACTCATTCTAATTTATTTTGGTCTTCGAATCTTTTAAAATTTAGACCGTTTTAATTAGTCGCTATGGTCTCAAGCAAGTGCTGTTATCCTATTTCAACTGATTTTCGTGCATGATACAATACACTATCTTGCTGAAAGTGTTCTATCCCTCAGACTTGTAACCATTTATTTTTCACTACTGATTCCCCATGTTCTATCATAGTGAGAAATTTATTGTTATTTATGTAAGTGATTATTTTTGACCAGCTTGAGGAGCAGAAGGGCGGTATATCGTTCCACGTGATAGGTACCTCCCTGACCCAGAAGGTCACCAAGAAGACGATGCTCTGGCTCATTGTTATTTATGTAAGTGTGATTATTTTTGAGCAGCTTGAGGAGCAGAAGGGCGGTATTTCGTTCCACGTGATAGGCAACTCCCTGACCCAGAAGGTCTCCAAGAAGACGATGCTCTGGCTCATTGGTCTGCAGAACGTCTTCTCGCACCAGCTGCCCCGCATGCCCAAGGAGTACATCACTCGGCTCGTTTTCGACCAGTCAGTTAAATTAAATAAAATTTGAAACAATTTAATCAATCTAATAATTTGAGTATCAAAACACAAGCAACGTTTGCAAATTGTTGCTTTCCTATCATTTGACTTCACGACGTTCTTGGTTAAACCTGATACACCGATATTGCAAACTAAGAAATCGTGTTTTTAGCGCATTTCCTCCTGGAAAAAATGCACTATTGTGCTCGCCATGTCAGTCTGTCTGTCTGTGTGTCCGTCCGTGACTTCACGTTTTCGTTGACCAGAAAATGCGCTCTCTGTCACTCACTGCAGTGAGTACTGAGTTATTTTTTATATCGAGCGTCGTCATGTCATGGTTCAGAAAATGTATAATTTTTCAAGGTGTTTGTGTTGTATTGCAGTAAACACAGGACGCTGGTGCTGGTGAAGGACCACCAGCCAATAGGCGGCATCTGCTTCAGGCTCTTCAAGAAGCAAGGCTTCTCTGAGATCGTCTTCTGCGCCGTCACCTCCAACGAGCAGGTCTTGATTCCTGTTGTATTGTTACGTGAATATTCTATTTTCGATGATACTTTTAAACACTGGATATTTTGACATAACCAGTGTCAATTAGAAAAGTTATTGTTTTACGCTGTCGATTGCTGTAAGTATGAAGGAAATAGGCGTCCTCTATGATATTCGTTTATGTGTATGTATACTACGTTCTGATATATTATTAGATTAAGTATAAATGAGGTCTTTAAATGTTTCATGTAAACTTTCTCTTGTCGTCCACTATTTTTAATGTTTTAAACTTACAGAGTTACTAATTACAGTATTTTTTCTGCAATGAATAGGCAAGCTCCCATTAAGTTTATTTTTTATTATCTGGCTCAATTTGAATGGAAGTAATGAATTTGAAGATATTCAGTTGAATTAAACTACATATGATAATGTTCTATCTACTAAAGCTTTGGTTTTGCGAATCTCATATTTGACGTGCCTTGAATCTATTCTTGCTCATACGGCTTGAATTTATTTTAAACGTGTTTGGAAAATTTTTCTCAAATTTAGAACGCAATTCTCCAAGAAATGTGACTTTGTTTGGTGGCCCGCCGCGACTTCTGTGTGTTCTATGATAATATTGCATTGCAGGTTAAAGGCTACGGCACTCACATGATGAACCACCTCAAGGACTTCCACGTGAAGCACAATGTTCTTCACTTCCTCACTTTTGCTGATGAATTTGCTATTGGTGAGCATAGTTGCTATCAAGTCGAGGTTATTTCCTAAATTCATTATTTTGTTTCAGTCGAATTATGTAAATATGCCGACTATCCGTGCAGAATTTTCTTCACTTGCAGATAGCATTTTGATTTTTTTGAGACTGCAGATATTTTATGCTGCAGCATGGAAAACTTGTTAATAAACGAGCACATAGTTTTGTTTGCAGAGTAAGACTTTATTTTATATGATGCCGGTTCAAAGGAACGATAAGTCTTTATCTCAAAAAAAATACTAAAATGTGTACGTGTTCTCCAGGCTACTTCAAGAAGCAGGGCTTCAGCAAGGACATCCACCTACCACGCGCTGTGTACCAGGGCTACATTAAAGACTACGAGGGGGCCACACTGATGGGCTGTGAGCTGCACCCCAGCATCGTCTACACTGAGTTTACTGCAGTCATACGCAGGCAGAAAGAGGTGAGACTCTTGACTATTCTTGACCATTCTTGACCTTTCTTCTTGACCATTCTTGACCGTATTAAAAATTACTTTTTAAAGACAACACTTCCAAAGAATCCAGTTTCTCCAATCTTACAGATGTACAATGAATTTCTCATTTAATTTTCGAATTAAAAAAATTAGTTTTTCAATTTTTTTAACATATAAATTTTTTTAATATATAATTTTTTTCCAAATTAATTATTATATTAATGGATTCATGCATTGCCTCTGACTTCACACAAGAGTGCAAAATTTCAGATCAATTAGACAGGTAAAAGTGTGTCAGATATCAGTTATAAGATTTGCAGCTGACAAAATTATTTTTTCAATTTTTTTAATATTGAAAAAAAAATTTTATACTTTTTTAAAATCTTTTATTTTGACATTTCATTCATGCATTGTCTCCAACTTTACACAAGTGTGCAAAATTTCAGATCAATAGGATAAGTAGAAGTGTGTTAAATTTTGATTATAAGATTTGTAGCAGACAGACAGACAGACAGACAAACAAACAGACAAGAAGTGAAGTTAAAGAGAAGTGTTGTAATAATAGGCTACTAATGTAATTTAACGTAGGGTAAAATGGTAAGTACCATTTGTATGTAAAAAGCATTGACGTCATAATACGACGTGAGAGAAGGCGGGGACAACAAGCTTGCGGTCTACATGCAATGAAAGGCACAGCGTGCACTGCCTTCGTGCCTCCCTTTTTACAACACTTCTCTTTAACTTCACTTCTTTTTACAACACTTCTCTTAAACTTCACTTCTTTTTACAACACTTCTCTTTAACTTCACTTCTTTTTACAACACTTCTCTTTAACTTCACTTCTTTTTACAACACTTCTCTTTAACTTCACTTCTTTTTTCAACACTTCTTTTTAACTTCACTTCTTTTTACAACACTTCTCTCTAACTTCACTTCTTTTTACAACACTTCTCTTTTACTTCACTTCTTTTTACAGCACTTCTCTTTAACTTCACTTCTTTTTACAACACTTCTCTTTAACTTCACTTCTTTTTACAACACTTCTCTT